AACAGGGCTTATTGCTGTCCCTATTAAGTCGCATTCGCGGATTTTTCGATCCCTCCAACCTTCTACTCGTGCGGTCTGATAGGCTTCAAGTTGTCGCCATATGGTTTCACCTTTCACTATCCAGCTCCAAATCTCTTGACCACAATCCATTTAAGACGTTTGTTAAGGTCCCGTCATTCATCAGTCCACTTCGCAGTGACAGCAATATGACTGACTACCGCGGCAATGGAAAAAGGAAAACTTGCGCATAGAGCTGAGTTCGGAGTAAATTATTTACACAATTTGTCCACGGTCACATTTTTGCAGGTAATCGCTTCAACAGCACTTGCCTCATGTAGAAACATCGAGGAAATCTATGGACTTGTTCAAAGTAACCAAAAAATGCAAGTAAATTCGAACCGTTGTACAGACATGGGTGTTGGGTGGCGCAAATCTTAGACCCCTTCCCAGCTACGAAGTGGCCGATAAAAATTGTGAGACAGCATTACTTGAAATGTCAGTCTTTGAAGTCGAACCTGCAATCATGCAACAAACAAATCTCGTTCTGTCGTGTTCTGTAACAACGTTAATTCGCATCCGGCGTCAGTGGAGTTTTCGACCAAATCCACCCAAAATCTTGTAAGAAAACTATCCTGAAGTTTTTGATCTTAGATTGAAGTTTTGTCGTTGCAATTGCAATGGGCATACGAATGGCCATAATTTTTCGCATTTTCGCACCGTATTGCGTGAGCTGTTTGAAGTCGTACTGCTATTTTTATCGTCGAATTCATGCTTTAAGACTAAGTAATACATTTTTACACCTTTGCAACTTCTTAATTTTATCAAAACAAAGCTATTTTTTTCTTGGGGGATTTCCTTTCACACTTCTCTCAGGTTGTACTTAAGGTATAGTAAGTCACATACAAAGGCAAGTACATTTTGTGGACTCAAACACTTTGCTAAGGTATTTATTCGAACTGCATCGCTCCATTAGACAGCACTGAATCCACATCACTCGTGACAGCAGCGTAAATGCAAAGGGACACCGGTTGATAAAGTTATTCCTCACCTAAAGCTGAGAGCTTAAATCGAAATGGCTCGGCTCTTTAAACCTCAAATCTAAGATTTCGAGGGTTCCCACCGCTTTTAGAGGTCCAACAATCCTCTAATAATATTCGAGCATTTTTTACAACCCCGAACTTTCGAAGACGCGATGCATGAGGACTTTGAATAGGCATCGTTTGTGGGTGTCCAAAAGGCCTTCGATTGACATTTTAATCTCCTTCGACAGCGAAGTTTGCCCAGTATTTTTGAGATGCCACTTAGCTGCAAAGGTGCTCAATTCTTGACACTATGCACTGTGACGTATTTGAAGGGAGGATGGAAATGCCTTTGGCAAAAGGACAGTCATTGTAACTTCCATCAGCATAAGGTTAATGATAAGTTTGATTTAATGGAGCCGTTGCATCGGAATCCTAAATCATAAATTAAAACCTACTAGTCGGAATAGGTGGGGGAAACAAATAATGGCAATAACTCCTCGCTTAAGAACTGCTGGATTGATGAAAATTAAAACTGTAGAACATAAAAATATTATGCATAAGTAACAATGGGGCAGCTGTTTGTTTCAGTGGAACGAGTAATTTAATGAAGCATCACCAAGATATAGCGGCAAATACCGTAGCACCTTTAGATCGCACCTTTTACAGGCCCTCCTGAGTGCAAAGTGATTAGGACCAGCTGTTTTCAGACTACAAAAGGGCTGCGAGTTACACCATGAATTTTGCGACAGGGCGGACGTTGTTTCTACCGTGTTTTTCACTGTGTGCATTGATTTGTGGACTGACGCACTTTATGACACTGCTTAGACTGACACGGGGAAACCATGCGTCAGGACTTTCCTCTTTTGACCTGACGCAATCACATCTTTATGATCAACAAAATTTGAAGTGCGTGATCAAGGAGTTGGAGGATTAGTATTACTACAAGTAAATTGATGTGCAGTCATCATCCGACGTGAAAGGTGTTCCAAACGCACAACTAGTTTTGACTTCAACCAAATGCAAATGCTGGAAAATAAGAATTACGTAATTGTCGCAATTTATCATATCATCCGCTAGAATGTTTCATAGCATTTCTTTCGACTGCGCGGTTGCAGGCAAAGGAAGGCGACCTCTGCCACTTGATAATGCACAGCATGGGGGCCAGGCAATGAGTGAAAATTTTACAACATTTTCTGGCTGGCAAATGGTGTGTTTTTGGGTGCGGGCACAACAAAATTCGAAGTAAAACTCGCTTTCTATGGTTGCTTATATGCATGTGGGCTTTAGTCAGGAAGCAGTGGCACTCTAGCCGAGGTACAACTTCCATTTGTACAACGTCTATTTGTGAAAAGCTGACAGGTAGCTGGATTTGTGCTGAGTTCCCAAATGCCACAAGCGAGCAATGGTTACAGATTATTTCGATAAATT